AAAAAAAAAAAAAAAAAAAAAAAATAGTTTAGAAATTATACAATATATTTCTATTTTAAAATATAAAAAAAAAGTTTATATTAATTATTAAAAAAAAAAAAAAATCCTATATGAATTTTTAAATTATAATTTTATTGGTTCCTCAATATATTAATATACCAACATTTAATGAGCTAGCTTCTATGTCAATAGACCAATTTCATTTTTTTTTTTTTAAACTCAATCAATAAAGTATGTTTTGACATCTCCATTAGATTTTGTTTGAAAATGACATAAAATTTCTCAACCATAGAGTAATTTGAACTTTTTTACAAGGAACTTACCCGAATCAAATAATTGTAATACAAGGTTGAAATTCATGACAATTGTAATAGCTCAGGCTTAGGATTCGAATAAGAATTCAGAATCCGAAATCAACACTAATACCTTCAACATTCTTTTCATCCTCACATTACTTACTTCTCGCTTCTAAAGAGTGATTTTCCACGGATTAATATAAGTTTTTTCAACATGTTTCGTCCTCATTCACATGCATCCTAGATACATTCCTAAGAGGTCACCTAGCATAAAGTTGCTCTAAATATAATAGTTTTAATCATGAAGTTCTTACGATTGTGCCACCGAAAAATCCATGTCCCAATGGTCACTATCATTCGGCGGTCTAAATTCATTCACATCTCTCACTTTACTCTAGTATCACAACAATATCTCAAAGTTAATATAATGGACAAAGAATTATAAAGTTATCCATCGAAACAGTAAGGTCACGAGTGTGACTATAACTTATAAACATACTTACTCTATTGGATTTTTTTTTCTAGAACGAGAACATAGCATTAGAAATTTACAAAAAAAAAACGTTATCAGTTACGTTGTCTAGAAGAGATGGAAGATCTTTCTGAAAAATGGTAGGTTATCCACTCTTCGTCTAAAAACCAAAGTCTATACAATCCATGTGGTAGTTGGATGCAAAACCAAAGAATTCTACATTTTTGTCTCTTAGACTAGGATGACTCATGTTTATATGAATCAATAATTGATGCTTCCAGTTATCTCAGCAATGAGAAAAATGATGTTTCATAAGTAATATTAAAAGCTTACGAAATACGAGATTTTCACCCCTTGTAAAGATGATGTAAGATCTTACAATCCACCCCTTTGGCACACTGTCTGGTGTCTGGCTCTGATATCATTTTGTAATAGCCTAACCCCACCGCAAGTAGATATTGTCCGTTTTAGACTCTCCTTTGGGCTTCCTCTCAAGGTTTTAAAACGAGTCTACTAATGAGAGGTTTCCACACCCTTATAAAGAATGTTTTGTTTCCCTTTCCAACCGAGGTGGGGTCTCACAATCCACCCCCTTGGGACCCAGTGTTTGGTTGTGATATCATTTGTAACAGTCAAGTTCACCGCTAGCAGATATTGTCCTCTTCAAACTTTCCATTTCAGACTTCCCCTAAGTTTTTAAAACGCGTATGTTATGAAGAGATTTTCACACCTTTATAAAGGATGTTTTGTTCCCCTTTCTAACCGATGTGGAATCTCACATAAATGGTCATCAAACGGCATCTAAAAAGTGATGCTTCAACTTTCAATCTACGCTCCTAAAGTCTTATAATCTCTAACATGGTATTGTTTGATGAGTTGAATTAAAATTATTTAGGTAAAACTACGATATATGATATCGACAAATTCAACAAATTCAAACAATTTCACGAACCTCATTCACATTCAAATCCACCAAAGACAGAAGAACAAGAGCTTTTGAAATCACAAAAGAAAAAGAGAAAGGAGGCAGCAGGTCTGAAAAGTTCATATACAAACAAAAGGTCATTCAATAAACTATATATATCTTGTTGCAAAGCTCAAGCAAGAAATTGAACTTATATATATATATTCTATCTTTCTTGGTGTTTGTGATAGCCCAACAAAGACAGCCTGGAATAGAAGGATCCAAGCCAAACCTCAACCCCACTTCCATTATTCTTCCCTTCTTTCTTACCAAAATAAAATGCAACTCTTTTGTCACCACATATAAAGCTTACAAAAAGAAGAGAAAGTGGAGATAATATGTGTTGCCTAACATTGGTGACCATTTTCCTCACTTTCCCACCTTTTTATTTCATATGGTTGAATGGTATATGATTAGATTATAGGTTAATTTAGGCTCCCACGTTTTTAAAACTAGATTTAAACTTATTACAAATTCAACTCCTAAGCTTCGATGATTAGATTATGATGCAAAATGGTCCAAACTATGTCGTTAAAACTGCGGACACATTGAAAATGACTTTATGAGCAAAAAGTCATTCTAAATAGACTCCAAATCACTAGAACTGAAAATATTTGCTAAAATCACTGCTCCTAAAGGGTGAAATTCTCTATTTACCATCATCAAATGAATTACAAGAAAATGGAAAGAGCAATAAATGGATGCAAGATATTTTCCTATAATAAAATGTCAAATATGGTAACTATGGTAAATTGTAATGGAATGCTAAATATTATTAACATCCCCTATAAGCTGAGCGTCGGATTGGAACAAACGTGAAACTTGAATCTGAAAAATTCAAAGGGAGCTGAGCGTCGGATTGGAACAAACGTGAAACTTGAATCTGAAAAATTTAAAGAGAGGTCGATAGAGAGTAGAACCAGAGAAGGAAAACCAACACCTAGAAGGTTCAGAATTAGGGTGATGACTCTATTCTGAGAAGAGGGCAAAATACAGATACAGAGACAAAGAGAGAGTTCGATGGTGGCTGTAAAGAAGGAACAGTGGATGTGGTCAGAGCCAAAGCTAGAGAGGAAGAAGAGAGCAGAAACTACCGACTCTAGGGTGTATTTTACGGTTTACCATAGATACCATATTTGACATTTTAAACAAAGCTAAAGCAGATAAGCATAGGTGGGTCCAAAAGTATAGTAATTTATAAAGCATAGGGACACACAATCATCAGAAATTTGAGTATTAAACTTGTAAGTTGCAATGAAATATAGAATTTTGTATTATGTTCTGTCTCACCTGGGCCTCATTAACGTGTTCTGGTTTCCTTCTTTGCTTGTTCTTTGCCTTGATTTCTGCTCCCATGATGTTCGTCTTGTAGTGATTCTTGTTGGGATTACCTATCACAAACATTGCAGAATAAACCATTAAGGAAAAGAATACGTTCACGATCCTCACTAACTCTCTCTTCTTCTTCTAATTTCGCCATTGATTTCTCCTCTGCCATTGCCATTATTAGAGAAGTTCAAAGAAACAGTACCTTCGAGGTCTCTCTCCAATGGAAGAATCTCCTTCATCTCAGTGATTGATTATCCCCTTTCGATTGTGCTCCTAGGGTTCCAAATCCATGGGAATTTGCCATTCGAAGGTGACCGCAAACCCTAAGGCGAAATGCGAGGACAACGCCGATTCACACACCAGAAACTCCCCTTCCAATTTTCCGTTCTTCACTCCGAGTCCTCTGTCTAGCGTGTTCAAGAACTCGCCATCCGGCGGTGCCAAGCGCCGGTCCAGGCCGTTCCCGCCGCCTTCGCCGGCGAAACACATCAAGGAACTGCTCGCACGACGCCATGGCTCTGCTAAGCCGAATCAGGCCCCGATTCCTGAAGAAGGCAACGGCGACAGCGAGGTTGTTGAGGTGAATAGGGAGTTTGGATATTCGAAGCAATTTGTGGCGCATTATGAGATTGGCGAAGAAGTAGGGCGCGGCCATTTTGGGTTCACTTGCAGAGCTAAGGCGAAGAAGGGAAGCCTCAAGGGTCAGCATGTTGCTGTCAAGATCATCCTCAAATCCAAGGTTTCGATTTTTTTATTTTTTTTCTAATTTTCAAAATTAGAGTTTCCATTTTAAAATTATAATAGAAATAAATGATACAAAAATAATGGTGAGAGAGTAAAAAAAATCAAAATAATATTTAAATTTTAAAAAATGAAATAATAAAATAAAATTTAAAGATAACTATAACATAGTGATAGTATAAATAATATCAAAGTCAAACATAGAGCTGTGTCAGTAAAAACACTGACCCCAAAGGATAGATAGGAGAACATATTTAATTTTAGGTAAATAAATAAAGTCACGCCTTCTTTTTCGGCCAAATCCTAATTTCGTTTTGCTTTCCCAGTCGTCGAGCCTGATCGACTCCACTCTTTTATCTGCCTCCCGGCCTCTCACTTCGTTTCGTTCTTCTTCTATATCATCGCTTGAATGAAGACACCCGATTGGCCCGACTTTTCCAAATGCCCACCACTGGCCCTGATCCTTTTCGGGTTTGGATTTTGCGCTCATTGACCCCCTTTTTGTTGTTCGAAGTCAATGAATTCCTTTCTTATCTTATCGCAATTTAAGTTGGAAATGCTTTTAGCACGTATTCAGACTTCCAGAGTTTAAGAGGTTTTCGGTTTTGCTTTGCCCCTTCCGGAGGATGCCTTACTATTATATCAAAAAGATGGGCAATTAAACCTATTTCTCGACTCAATAGAAACCCAAATATTAGAGCTGTCAACTCGTAATATAGACAAAAAAAAAAAAAAAAAAAAAAAAAAAAAAAAAAAAAAAAAAAAAAAAAAAAAAAAAAAAAAAAAA